TTGGCAGTAACAGGTACCGATTTCATTTATCAGTTAATTTTCATAGATATGGGTTAGTTTTCCAATACGATACACTTGTTGTTCATAATAGAGTTGTCAAGATTGTTGAGTTTCATTTAAATCATGGATCGATCAATGTAAGATCGTCATTAGAAAGGTGAAAGCACTGGATGACCATTTCGTTCATCGACAGTATGCATCCATGACTGACTAATGATTTCAACAATCTCCATAACTTTATAATGAATATAAAAAAATATGCTTCACTAGTGACTTGTTCTGTGAGGGAATTTTCTGAGTTCTAGTAAGAAGCCAAGGTCAGCGGAGTTCAACCGTGTCGGACGTGAGACTGTTACCATTCGAAGACAATGGGTGAAGTCATGCTATATGGGTGGATTGATTAAAGTTAGACGATAACTCTGATGGATGATGGCTTAGTGGTCTAACGGTTAAGCGTCTCTGCGAGACTTAAGGCCATGAGTTGAATTGCTGCAAGCGAGTGTCGTGGATGCGTACTGCGAATGAGGCCTATACTAGAATGAGACGGTCGTCCAGTGCTTCTATTTTTCTAATAGCGATCTAACACTGGTCGATTTATGATTCTACAAAAATACTTGTTTTTGGTAAAATTCTACTGTTGTAGACAGAAACAACTAGACGAACATGTAAGCATTCATAATATGGATTTACTTTACAGGTCTTTCGTCAATAGTTTTACTTACGGGAACACTGCAAACCTTAACTATAATAGAAATGAATTTATTACGAAACGAGTGCTTTAATATACTATTTAACTGTGTAAACATTTTACTATACATACCATACATAGATTCATTTACTCGAAATTAATTTACATTTTATCCATCTCCTGAGTTCCACAAAGTGGGAGAGATTGACCATGTTTCGCGACTACAATCAACTGATTGAAACCACAGACATGTTCCACAAAACTTAACAAATACCAAAGTCTAATAACATATTCAGTTTATGTTCAATATCAGGAAAGCTCTGTTACGTTTAATCAAAAACTACACTACAAAAAAGATACTCAAAGATAATTTTAAACTTTTTAAAGTATTTCTTTTATATTTTCATTATAACAAATGAATTTGAATTACGGGGTTGTGAAGATTGTCAAGTTACACATTTTTGAAACCATGAACCGATCAATGTTAGACATTAACACCGTTAGACACTGGCTCAGTTGTCTATCGGTTAGGGCTTTCGCGCACGACACCGAAGGTCCTGGGTTCGAATCCCACGGGGTGCGTAGTGCTGAAGAGTCCCATACCAGAACGAAACGGCCGTCCAGTGCTTCCATATTTCTAATGGTGGTCTAACATTGGTCGGTTCATGGTTTCAAAAACAAATGAATTGACAGGAAGAAATTCCATTGGCCAATAATAGTTACTGTACCTTTCTTTAATGATGACTCAGTCCGTTAGGAGTGTGAAAAGTCATCTTTGAAAAGATTATTTTGTATGTTTGTGGTATTTTCTACACAATCCATACCAAGTTGTGTTGCGGTAAGTTTGATGTGAAAAGGAAGAATTAATGTAACAAGAGTGTTAAACAGTTACAAATCAAACTGACTGGGAGGTGCAGTTGTATATGGTCTGTCAAAATATCAGTTATTTATTTTATACTTCAACATCTTTTTTTCGTCAGATTTGACTACACGGATTCATTTTATATATCTGCTTGTCATATGATAATTTGCAATATAGGATTGGGGAGATTGTTGAGTTACTTACTTTTTGAAATCATGAGTGGATCATTGTTAGACCAGCACCAGGAGGAACCTGGACGGTCGTTTTTTCTTGGTATGGGACTCAATAGCAGTGCGCATCTACGACTCCTGCCACTCTCAGGATCCGAAGCTAGGACCTTCAGTTTTGCTCGGGAACGCCTAACCTTTAAACCATTGAGCCTGTATCTAACGATCTTATGATAACTTTCATTTCCTACATACCCCTGATAATCATGTGTTGTGCCGATGGAAATTCCCATTTTTTATTATCTAAATGGTACTTTTTCCGATTGACTTTAATGAAGTTAAATTTTTAAAAATTAATGATTCAAAAAAGGCCCTAATGTCAATGAATATTAGGATTCATTAGCAGTGCATATCCACTAACAAGAACCGAACCCAGGGCCTTCGATAGTGCTCACTAACGTTTCACACCTTGACTACTCAGTCGGCATCTAGTGGTTTTATTGTCTAACTTTGATCAGTCCATGATCATACACAACCTCATCTACTGTGACAAACGGAGTTGGACCTTGTTCAAGTGTGAAACAGTGCTCACCGAAGACGACAGTGAACTTTGTGCTGGTGATGTATGTTCAAAAGAACAATAAAAGCTTCACATCCAAAACATCCAGCTTGGAGGACGAAATTTCACTACAAGCAGTGGATTCTATTGAACAAGACAATGGATTGATCGAAATTAGACATTGACACCTATGGATGCCGGCTGGCTAAGTAGTCCAGCAACTAAACGTTCGCCAGGAAGACCGAAGGTCCTGGGTTTTCGCTGATAAGCCTCTTACCAGGATGAATCGGCCATCAAGTGCTTCCACGTTTCTAATGATAT